CCAGACATTCAGAGAACTCCGTCAGCAGGTCGACTTGCAGAGACTCGACTGGGCAGCTAATCGCGGCCTGTCCCCCAGGCTGCAGGGAGAAGCCGAGGGGGCATCTCCTGCTCATCACGTTCAGGTCCCCTGCCTCTGTCACAGCAGGACATCTACGTCTTGCTGCCCCGGGGTATCTGGCCTGGGGGGGGGGGGGACAAGTGTTCCCTGAGACATGAAGAATTGGGTCAAACAGAAAAGCCTGCTAGCTCACTCTGGAGCAGCCAGGAAGACAGACGGACACCAGGGGTGGGGGTGGGGGGTCAGGAAAGGTGCCAGGGGAGACACATCTGAGGTCCAGGAGAGCCCGGTGCACCCCAAAGGCACCATGTGAGCAGAGATGTGCTAACTCAGGAGCCACGTCTCCCAGGGGCAGAATGGCTTATACCCAGGATCTTTTTATACCGAGATCTTTATTTTGTTTCCCTGGCAACAAATCCTCCAAAGAATTCTTACCACGAAAGTTGGGGTGATGAGCGCCATGGTGCCCGAGATGCCATTTACCTGTAGGAAAACAAGAGAGAGGCTTTCTGAGGCACCCTGCGGGCCTCCAGTGCCCTGGGGAGATGACCCCACACTCTGTTCTGCGTCAGCTTTGCCCGTGACTGAGGACAAGCAAAGCAGCTGCAAACGTGGCCTACAGGCCGAGCTTTGCTCCCTGGGACCCAGAGGGCGACCCAGAGGGCGTCCCAGGGGAGGCAGAAAGCCAGCGAGGGTGAGTCTGACCCATGCAGGAAATCCCACGGTGAAAGGGAGAAAACAGTCATTGCGGCCGCCCCGGGAGCCAGCAGGCTGAGCTCCTGCTCCCCACAGAGGGGGTCTGTGCCCACAACATCCACCCTGAGGGTGGATCTGAGAACAAGTGCAGGTTCAGAGCGCCAGAGGCCGCTGGTCTCACCACCCGCCTCACTGGTTAACACCAGCAGCCCACACAGAGGTTGGGGGAGCGCTCCGGGGAGACCCCCTCCGGCAGCCAGGCACTGCCACTGCCTCTCCTCACTCTGAACAACCTCATTAGGGAAGTAAAGGGGTGTAGCTGCCAAGAGCCAGACAGTGCTAGAACGCTGGACCTGCTAGTTCTGCTCTGAGGCTTGAAGAGCCCAGGAAATCACCCCCAAGGCAAGGGGCACAGCAGAGAATGTGGTGCAAGATGCAGGGGGAGCTGTGGGGACACCTAGGAGAGCCATGAGCGGCTGCGTGCATTAGCTCCGGGGCTACCCACCACCCCATTAAGGCAAAGGCATGGAGCAGAGTTGACAACCGAGCCTGGAGGGATAAGGTAGCCCTTACTCCCCTTTGTAAATGCTGCTGACTGCTGACGTGGGCGTGGGGAATGCAATAACGAATTGAGGGACACGGATTAAGCCTGTGGAATGCTCCGAATAAGCGGGACTTGGCGACCAAAAACATTAAAATGCATCATTATTTCTAAAACCGTGAAAATAATGAATATGTAAAATCAGGTCACATGCAAATGTTACACAATGGCGGGAGGGCCAGACCCCATCAGCGTGTGTAAAGTGAGGTAAAACACATCAACAGAAACCAAATGAGAGGCGCAGGGGGTGCTGGCAACGGACTCGATGGTCCTCGCGTGAGTTTTCTTTTTCCCTGTCGGAGTGTTTAGAGGAGTTTCGTGATGGGAGGGCTGAGCGCTCAACTATCCTCTCGAGGTCGTGCAGAGGTGCGACCTATTCATCTGGGATCCTTGTTTTCTTGGAGTCCTGAGGCATGAAGGGAAGCGGGCAACTGAGAGCGGGTCCTGCACCCCCACACCCCTCCAGCCAGAAAGGACCTGAGTGAGCATCCATCTCCTGGATGGGGGCGGTGAGGACACTCAGGGTCTCCCTGGGGGGGGCAGAAAGGAATGCACAGGAGAGACCGCCCCTCCTGCCCAGACTGGCAGGCTAGCCAGCCCTCGGGGCCATCAGCGTCACACTGACTCTCGCGTTAGACCTTCTGCCTGCAGGTGAGGCTCCCGGCCCAGAGCAGGCCCCGCCCACAACGTAACAGGCAGCTCCAGGCGCCAATAACTGCTCGGAAGGGCCCCGCGGCTCCTGCTGTGGGCGGGCCCTCGCTTGCCCCACAGGTGGAAGGAGGGAGGCAGGTATCCCTCTAGACCTGGCTCTTGGAGACTGAGAACAACAAGCTCAGCCTGCTGGGCCCGCGGGGCTGTGGGGTCCCTGGGGGGAGACTGGTAGCGAGGAGAAGCACCAAGCAAGGCTGCCCAGACTCGGCCTCCCCCGACGCCAGGCCCGGTCCCACCTCGCACCTCAGCTCCTGTCTGAAATTCTCCTTTCTCACCTAGACCATGGAGGAAATAACCCTTTTCGAAGACACGGTGCCCTGGTGTAGTCAACACTCAGCCCAAGTGCCTGGCACATGAGCATGCTAAGCGAAGTGCCCACGAAAGTGGGAATGGAGTGGAAGCTGTTCGGCCATGTCGCCGAGGTGCCTGCGCCCCAAGGCCGCTCACCCTGCTAACGGAGCTGAGTTTTGCTCAGGGGGGGCACCCAAGGGCGAGTCAGTCAGGTCAACCCTGTCTTGGAAAGGTCAACCCTTTCCCAGGCTTCCCCACAGGTTGGAGTGGGGGTGGGGGGATGGCTGTGGGTCCGGCTCACCAGCTGGGTTAAGCACCTTCTGCGTTAACCAGAACAGAGAGGACCTGAGGAAAGCTGGCTCGCCTCAGTGTGAACAAGTGAGATGGGCACCACGCCCCTCCCGCCTTCCTGAGCCAGAGCTTAGTGAGGGCACTCGGCGGCCCTCTTGCAGCCATATGGCCGCAAGTACCTGGACAAAGTCAACGCGCCAAGGGAGCGAGCGCAATTCCATCCTGGTGCCAGCCAGACGTGCAGCCCGCGCCTCGTGTTAGATGACAGGAAATAGCTCCACGTGTGTCTTAGGCCACTATTGGGCCTTCGGAGCTGAAGCTCCTAGCTCACACAGCAAGAAACAGGCCGAAAGAGCAGCTCATTGGGGCAGGAGCACAGGAAGCAGCCACTATGGTAAATGCAGCAGAAGATGGGGGCCCAGGTAAGGGGCCAGGTGGGGGATGGGGGCCAGGTGAGCAGCACAGTGAGCAGAGGAAATGGATGGGGTCCAGGTGTGGGGGTGTCCAGTCGCAGAGATGGCGTTCCGGGCTGGGGCTGGGGGACCTCTGGTTACCTATCATCCCGGTGAGATAGCCAGCCTGCTGCAGCACCTCGGCCAAGGTGGTCTCGTTCAGCGGCAGGCCCCCCACAGAGGTGACTGCAAAGTTGTGTGTGACTCCATTCCGAAGGCCCAGCCGGCCCGTGAGCAGAGAGGCCCGGGACGGGGAGCAAGTGGAGGCAGCTGCGTGGAAGTCCACAAATCTGCAAAGAGGAAGTGGTAGGGATTCGTGTCAGCACAGGGAGCCAAACCCAGAGGAAATCCAGTTCCCTTCCAGTTCCCTGGGTTCCGATGCAGACAAAGGCTCCAAGAAAACCTCGGCTGAGGACAGGTGAGGAAAAGGAAGCTCCGAGAAGCAGCTCCATGCATCTAAGGCACACAGCTAATTCAAGTCGCCTTAACCTGATATATTTAGTTGACAAAGAAGCCATCTTTACAACTCACCTGGTCGTTCAACTTCACCTGGAGCCCCAAAGTCAATACCCCAAGTTTCAGTAATGATTGGTGGACATACCTGTACCCAAACAGGTGACCCTCTTGTTTCACAGTGTGAACAGACACCCCCCATTTCATGGTCTGCTTACTCCCATGCTCCCTGCCGGTGATTTTCCTGTATGAAATGACCCCAAGCCCAGTGCTCAGGGGACCGGTCAGTGTTCTGCAATGCAAGGAGGCTGGGTTGCCTCTTGGGGGGGAGCTTGTGAGCTCCACCTCGTGAGGCCTGAGCTACAGGGCCGTGGATGGAGAATATATTAGTGAGGCAATAACAGAGCCTGCATATGGGGTCTTTAAACGAACAGGTGCATCAGGAAGGGCTCCGTGCTACAGCTGAGGAGGCGCCGTGACTGGGCTCACAGGACATGTCCCTCCTCCCCTCCAGCTGTGGCTCAGTATCTGCGACATCCAAGTTCACGGTGGTGACTTTGTAGCACAGAATTCCCGCCTGAAATTAGAGCCACACGTGAGTCTATGCCCAGTGCTTTTCAGACACTATGGGAGAAAACAAAAGCCTGTGCAGCTGCTGTCCAAGCCTCAAGGAACGCACCACTTTGCTGAGACACATGACATGCACATTCAAGTCACAAATTGCAAAGTCGCGTAGACATGGGGCGTGAAGGCAGGGATGCTGCAGGCCCGCAGTGAGGCGAGCACATGGGTGAGCATCCAGGACCCGAGAGACCCTAGACTGGAACTGTACAGACCGCAGCTGGTAGCTTGGTTACGTGAATGATGGCTCAGGGCCCTCCCTGGTGGCGCAGCGGGTTAAAGCACAGCACTACGAAGCCAGCTGCAGCTACTTCAGCACAAGTTCGATCTCCAGCCAGGGAGGTGACCCACATGGCACAGCAGACCTCTCCTGTCTCCCCGCTGCTCCCCTCAGCAGTGCGCCTCGTCAGTCTGCCTGTTCTCCCCTCTCTGTCTCTGGTGAATCCTCTCACCATCCTGCACCTCTGGCCTGTACCCAGTTCTGTATGCATAAATAAATAAATCTTAAAAAAAAAAGGATGTTTTTAGTAAGAATGTGTTTTATTACATTCACAATGTTTTATTCTTAAGAGATACATGCTGTTAGGTCAGGATGTCTGCACCCTTCCTATGGTGCCGGAAAAAAACCAGCCTCCAAGAGCAGGAAGCAGGGGTGACCTGAATAAACACGGGGTGGGGAAATGTGTGTGTGAGGGACGTACTTCTCCAAAGAAGTGACGCGTCAGCTGAGGCCCACAGCATACATATAATATCGATATTACATCTGGGGACCTAACGGGTATGTTTGTGTTTTATCGTAACGACAATAGCTACTTGTTTTCCAGAGGCGCCCGCCTTACTCCTATGACTTGTATTATTTCTAATAACAGCTCCCCGTTTTACAGAGCAGGGAGGTGAGGCAGAGAGAAGGGAAGAGGCTTCCCAAGACCACACGGCGCGAGTGAAGCCTGATCTTGCGCTACCAGACACTTTGGAGATGGCGGAACTGGGCCTTGAACCCAGGCCTGCTCGAGTGAAACCCCGTCCTTTCTGCTTCCCTTTCTAACAGAGAGGAGGCTGTCTGGAGCAGGTGGGATCACAGAGGCCCTGGTCTCGGGCTAGAGACGCCCCAAGACTCACACTCAGCGGTGCAGCCTCAAGAGATGACTCCTATCCACACGAGCCTGAGACATACTGATTAACGCCCAAGAACAGGCACGAAAACCAGAGCATTGACACAGCCTGTGTCTTTTCTGCCCCCACACAAGTCACACGGGAAATCAGCATCCAAGCCCGGTCCCTAGTGCAGAGCCTGGGAATGCAATGGATGGAGAGGAAAGTGCTTCAGTCTGCTGAGGGCTGGGGCTGAGGCTCCGGGAGGCTGCAAGGCTGTCGGCATTTCCCCTCCCCTGGAAATGTCTCCCCAAATCCGTGTCTCCCCAAATCCACATGTTGAGGCCTCACTCCCAATGTGGCAGTAGCTGGAGCCAAGCTCTGTCTTTAGGAAGCAACCAGGTTTTGATGAGATGGTGAAAGCGGAGACCCGCCTCCTCCAAACCCCCGCCCGTGGGATTAGTGTCCTTACTGGAAGAGGAGAGACCAGAGCTTGTTCCTTGTCCACCAGGTGAGGTCACAGGGCAACGGCCCCTTCCAGCCAGAAGAGGGTCCTCGGCAGGACCTGGACCAGATGGCATCAGCTCTGAACATACAGCCCAAACCATGGTGCCCGCTGCTTTCCCTGCGGGGCTGGTAGCGACTATTCTGCCCGTGGTCTCCCCACAACTTTTCAGTCCACAGGGTTAGAGCAGCAGATTCTGCAGTGAGAGTGCCCCTTGCCTCCCAGGATTGCGACTCAGGGTTTCGAGCCGCAACCCCCTGGGGCTCTTCCAGCACCATTGGTGGACGATAAGCCAAGCTGGAAGGCAGAAGCCAGGTTGTTCACTTGCAAGAAAGCACGTCAGTCAGTCAGTCCACTTTTTGCATAATCGCTTAAGCCGATGCTCTCAAGGCTCAATTCCTTTCCCACCGAGTGTTAAAGTTCATGCTGAACTCTCAAAAATAAAGTCGTCCTTCTTTTTTGCCAAGTCCATGGAAGACCCTGACTGTCCCCAGCCCCCTCCCTCCGAAATGAAACTAACATCTTCCCTGCAGCCAGATGACCCGACCTGCTCCTCCCTCTCCCCTCTCCCGGCCTCTGGCTCCACTTGGCAGAGACTAATTAATAAGCCATAAAATGGCCTTGCTGTTTGGAAAGCGGCTTTTGTTTTGCTCCAAATCTATCTGGGCAGGCTCAGGCCGGTTCACCAACAGGGGTCCTCATTAAAGTCTGAAAGTACATTGTAAAGCAAAGCTAGAGACACACACCCAGCCGTGACAGCAGCCTGTTAACAAGAAAACCAACGCAGATGAGACACAGCCAGACAGAAAACGAAGCGACTGGCCTCAGCATCCATTAGCGCGGCGGGCCAGAGGGCACTTCCGTGGCAGGAGGCCACGCAAGGCCGGGGAGACGCACCCTCGCAGCACTGAGCGCCCAGCCTGCGTTCACAGGGGATGTGACACAGATGGGCCTGCTGGGCCACTCTCTACGTTGGCAGCGGCCAGAATAAAAACGAACTCTGCTCCATCCATAATTTAAGGGCAGGGAGGTAGGTGTGGACGCCCGAGAGCCCTCGCGTGGCCTCGGCATGTTGGACACACGTGGGCAGCTCTCCTCACGGTGCTGTCTGTCCAGTAGGAAGACACAGCCGGCGAAGGTGGTTCGGTGGCTACTTGATATGACTCGTACACACAGCCCTTTGCAAACCCCAAGCAAAGGGAACATGCTCTGTTCACCCACTCACACTCTGGCGCCTGGTTTGGGTGAGCTCCTTCGCCACCCCCCTTTCTATATCCCATTCCCGCGTGGGTATGGGCACATTTTGCTCAAGGAAGGACTTATACAGGGGCACAACAACAGGACCTATCCAGGAGCATTTCAGTGGACAGGACACTCCCTCCCCTGACCATCTCCTGAGCCAGCCACCCTGGAGTTTGCAGTAAAGGCCCCTGCCCTCCGGGCTGTCAGGGTGACACCTTGGTAATCTGGGGCCCTCCAGCTCCAGGCAGGCTGCTGGCTCAGTCCGCAGGCGCCCGTCAGGTTCAGGATCAAGAGCCAACACTTGAGCGTGTCCACTGCATCCTTCACCAGCTGCCTGTCCTTCGGCCCGGCCTCACACGCCCTGCGCCAGCCACACTCTGCTAGAATGCAGACACACAGGGCTTTTTAGGAGCTGGACCACGAGGTGTTCCCAGGACCTCGCTCTGCACCAGGGAGGCGTCTGGGAATTCACCGAGCACATGGCACGTTTCGCCCCGCGGTTAGTTCTGCCTCCCTCTGCTGCATCTCTCTTCCCTGTGCCTGGCTAGTTCCTCCACGTGTAACTTTCAGCCCTTGGTAGATAAGTTCTGCTGAGGAACCCCTGGAGCAGCTCTGGGCTGCTGCAGTCCCACAGCGCCAGCTTCCCGAAGCTTCTCTCTTCTCGCCCAACAGCGAGAAGTCCAGCACGATCTTGCTCGTTCTTGACTGTGATCCATGTCAAAAGAATTGGCACATTCTAGGCCCTGGTGTCATTCAGCTACTCAGGTGACACCAGTCCCGGGTGCGGGGACACGTGAGGGCCCACGCTGACAGCAACACCCTACCCACGCGTCTGTAGGCCGGTTTTCTCATCTTGACTCCGTCCCCAGGGTGTGAGTCTCTTAAGGGCAGAGCCAGCTTGACCCCCCAACCCTACTAACTGTCTCACGATCTGCTCTTTGCAGAGGTCCATGTATCTCCACGATGTAGAAGGATGAAAAGGAGAACAAATGCTAGCAACTGGGTGGCTCTTTTGAACTCGCTGCTGTGCAGCAGGCTGGCACCAGGGACGCCCCGGCTAACACTGTGGTGTTCTTCCCTGATGGGCTGACATCTCCCTCAGCGAGTTCCTGCACGTCCAGTCTGCTACCACCTCCAGGTCTCTGCTCCAGGCCTCACCTTACCTCCAGTCAGCGGTGGGCAAGACATGGTTTCCAAGGCTAGTTAATCTATTGACCTGAGGGTAACTGACCCCTAATACAGGGCTTAAGAGGAAGCGGGGATGGGATCTCCCTGGGCAAACATCTCAGAGCTAATGGTGACGGGTGACGGTCAGGACAAACAAGAGGATTTCCCCCTGATGCGGGTCCTCGACCCTGGGCCTAAATCACTGGTGGCGGGAGTGTGGGGTTACCTGGAGGGGGAGGGGTCTTGCTGACTAATGAAAACCTTCTGCAGAAAGTTCTTTCTGCTCTGGCTCCCCTTGGGCCCACCAGCCCTCAAGACCTCATTCCAATCCCTGCAGTTTTGAGTGCCAGCCTGTTTTCGCCTCTTCCTAAGCTGATGGCAAAATCTCAAAAGTGACAAAAAGGCAGAGAAAATCGAGCAAGGTATCAGGATGAGAAAATTTTTGCAAAAAGCCAATTTTGATGAGAAAAGCCATACCAGATGTTTGATAGAATTAGCACCTTCATTCTTTCCCCTCAAACTATTCAGAAACAGCTTCCTATTGCCACTGGGGTCCTCGGACGTTCTGGGGGTGCATGTTGACCTCTGACTCCTAGCTAAACTTCAATCTATAACCCTCAGCAGCAGCACTGACCTGACTCAAAATTAAACTGGGCCAGAGAAGGGGTAGAGCAGGGAAGACGAGAAACCAAGGGCCAAAACTGGCACAGTGCAAGTCGCTACAATAGACAGCTCCGCTCCCGAGCCCGCCTGGCAGACGGCGGTGAGCAGCCGGTGCCCAGGAAGGGCTGGCGAGGACCTCGTCTCTCTGCCCTGGTCATTCACCCTTCGTCCCCATCATGGACCTGCGGGCTGTGTTCACTTAAGAGCTGGGCATCCTAAGCCGTTGCCTCCATCCAGCCACCCAGACAGGAGATCTGTGCAGTTACTACTCGGCCCGAGACCTGGTGCTTCATCACAGGTGAAACCGGCAGGTCCCGGACTCGTATTCCATTATCAAGGTTATTCCCAGGTCTGCGCGGCACTCAGACAGTGGCCAGACAGTTGCACACCCTGGAGGAGAGGCCAAGGACATGTATTTGTCCTTTTCTCTTTTTTTCAGCGTGCACAAGTCACGCCTCTACCCCAAGCTGCAAGCAAGTTTTGAATTGCTGGCAAAAATGAGCGGGTCTGGTGGTGGCACAGGGGTGATTTGGTGATGGGAAACCTGTGGGGATTACAATTGAGATGAAAAAAAAAATGTGCAAAATGATGTAAAAATAAACTTTTTAATAAAAAAAAAAGCATAAAAAAAAATGAGCGGGTCATTGACAACTAAGTCCTTGGCTGTTTTTCTTAAATCCCAACACTCTGGTTTTCTTCAGGGTACCTCCTCGCTTTTAAACTTGGGAACGGCATCAGCACTGCCCCGCTCAGGTGTGCAGTGGGCGCTGACAAAGTGACCGGCTGGAGGTCAGGGCCAAGCACACGGGTGGCGAGGCCTCCCGACCCGTGCCAGGGTACCTCTGCTGCACAGGCACACCCGGGGGTCACGAACACTGGGGAAGCCCAAGTTCAGTGCCCTCTGGTGTGCTACTCCAAGGCAGGAGCGTTCACTTATTCCTCAGCAAATCCTTTCTCATGACGTTTCCTCTGGTGAATCTGCAAGCCAGATGAGCTAACAGTAACAGCATTCCCTTCCTGGGCCTCAGTTGCCCTCCACGAGAGATGGATGTGGGCTCCTCTGACTCCAGCTGCGGGCAGTTCAAGGCTACAGGCCACGGTCCCCACGTCATCTCCACGTGCGTGGAGCTGGGAGTCTGAAGGGGGCGCTGACATGCTGTTTCTTTCCCAGTGCCCTTTCTGCTGCTGGCATCGCCACTGGGCTGCAGCCAGACCCTGCCCATCCACAAAAGCGGCAGATTGAGACCCTCCCTGGTGGCGCAGTGGGTCAGGACGCAGCACTGCGAGCTGGCCGCGGCTGCCTCAGTGCGAGTTCCATCCCTGGCCCTGGAGGTGACCCACAGGGCCCGGGAGACCTCTCCTGTCTCCCCGCTGCTCCCCTCAGCAGTATATTTCGTCTGTCCTGCTCCCAACTCCGTCTCTGGTGGATCCTCTTACCGCCCCTGCACCTCTGGCCTGTACCCCAGTTCTGTATGCACAAATAAATAAATCTTAAAAAAAAAAAAAAAGCGGCAAATTGCATCTACCAAGCCAGGTTAAACAGAAAGAGCAGCGAGTGCTGACGGGAATCAGGAGGATACACACACGTAAGAGCTGCCCTGGGGACACGCCCTATGAGCACACAGGATAGAGGGATTCTGAGACGATAATGAGTGCTAAGGTCCACCTGGTGGAGGAGGCACCAGGGGCCCAGAGCGAGATGTGGCTGGAAACTAAGTGAGGAGACAGACAGGACAGTCCAGGTTGGCGGGGGGGGGGAGGAGGGGAGACATGGACTCTGCTGACTTAACTAATTGCCTCCTCAGAATGACCCTGTGACGTAGGTACCATTACTGACCTAGAGATGAGCAAACAGTCCCAGTGAGGCTGGCAAATGAGCCCAGTGTCCCATACTGAGAAAGCGAGAGACCCTGGCGCCTGGTTCCAGACCCCGTGCAGTGGTTAACTCACCGAGGCAGACCCCGAAGGTGGGATCTAGGAATTCCGATACAGAAGAAAAGTGTTTTGAGCATCTACCATGCCCCTGGCATTGTCTTAGGCATTGGAGTTAGGAAAGAGATAGAGACGTTCGCTCCTCCGGAGAGAGACAGGCACGGGAGGTCATTTGAGAGGGGCTGGGGGAGAGCAGAGAGCCATGCTTGGCGGAGGTGAGAGACGGCCGGGAGCCTCTCGAGGATGGGGACTGGACGGGGAAGCGTGAGAGGGGCTAGGCTTTCAGAGCTTGCCAGGAAGAGGGAGTAGCCCGTGCCAAGGCCCTGAGGCAGCGAAACGATGCGTCTGAGGACAGAAATAAGCACAAGGTTAGGAGCAGCTGAGCCGGCACCTGTCCCGCCCCTCACACCTGCAGGCTGGGGAGCCTCCTCCCAACCCCTGCTGCCCCTTCCTGATCAATGCGTCTTAAGGTTGCTCTTACAGGCGCTCAGCAGAGACCTCCTTTCTCCATGCCACAGGGGGAGAAATGTTGAGAGCGCAGTGGCCCCAGTTCTGAAGGACTCTTCCCAGCCCCCCTTCTCCCCCAGGCCTTAAAGATAAGGCTCTAGAATGGAAAAATCTGGGCTTGAATGTTGGCTCAGCCACTCCTCAACTCTGAGCGAGGTCCTTGACCTGGATCTCCTCATGTGTGAACGCAGAGAAACCTCTTGGTAACGAGCGTTACATTGGGCAATTCTGGAGCCTGAACCCTGGCAGGTGCAGGTGCAGTTCAGCTTGCTGGCAGCTGTGTGGATGCGGTGCAGGTGTCGGCCAAGTGCGCATGTTCTCCACGGAGACTGAGCAGCAGGGAGTTTCCCAGGGGTCCCCTCCTTCCCTGCTGTGGCCCTCAGGCCTTCACCTGTGGGTCGGCATCCCATCACATTGACACTTCAGATGGGTGTTATTTCTAGTAATGTCACCAGGCTGCCTGCAACCATGAGAAACTGGAAGAACAGATTCCCCCTCGGAGCCTCCAGGAGGAACCACCTTGCCGACGCCTGAACCTCCTGGACTAGGGAGAGGATACATCTGTGTTGCTTTAAGCCGCCAGTTTGTGGTCATATGTCCTGGGAAATGAATATGCTGATAAAAGGGAGATGATAGAAACAACATTGTCTCAAATCACCCTTTGACCCTGCTTGGCAATAAGAGTTCTGGTGCAAAAGTCCCAGGTAGAGGCCTCCGTGGTGGTGCAGGGTTAGAGTCTCAGCACTATCACGCTGTTTCTACTGCGACTTCAGTTCTATCCCTGAGCAGGGAGCTGACCCACAGGGTGCGGCAGACCTCTCCTGTCTCCCTGCTGCTCCCCTCAGCAGTGGATTTCAGTGCATCTGCCTGTTCTGCTCCCCACTCTGTCTCTGGTGAGTCCTCTCACTCACACCTCTAGCCTGTCCTCCAGTTCTTATATGCATAAATAAATAAAATAAATAACAAAAGTCACACTTGGGGCCCCACGGACTCAGTACCCCCACACTCACCTCATTCCTTCTGCAGCCATCTTATCCAGGTTGGTAGTGTCCTTTGTTTCTGCCCAGTTTGCTCCTAGGTCGCCCCACCCCATGTCATCTGCCAAAATGATCACAAAATTTGGTTTCTGGCCTCCCGCTTTCCCTTGGGAGCCAAAATCTACCAGAGGATAAAGACATCCCAAGGAACTCAAGCCCACCAACAAAACCTTTAGAAAAAGCCAGCCCATGGTGGAGTGGGCAAGTCCTCCCGTCCACAGTGGGGGTGCCCGCCACTGGCAAGTCCACTCACTTTCTATGCTGGACACCCCTGGACACAGCAGTGAAGTTTGCGAGAAGAAGGAGGCGGTGTCAGTGATAGTGGTGGCAGGGAATATGGACCGGTGGGGCTACAGAAACGAGGCCTCTGTCTGGAATCCTAATTCAGGAGAGGCAGGAAACTTGCAACCCGAAATTGGCGTCCCCTGCCCCGCAGCTCTGTAAGATGACCAGCTGTGGGCAGCGGTCACCTGCGTCGACAGCTGCCCTTGGCCACTTGGACAGTGACCTCTCTATGTTCAAGGCTGTCAAGAGTCAAAGCGCTCGTCTTGCATCTGTTCGGGGCTCCAGCTGGTGCGGGCGGGGCAAGTTCTCACATCTGCAGGACACCTGAACGTCCAAGAAGCCATCGTCAAGCCCGAATGCATTTCTGAGTTCCAGATGGTGGAGGGCCTCGTGTTTCTGCCAGGTTGCCTAAAAGAACAGAAAATGGACAAGAAAACAGTTCAAACTGCCAGTGCAGCTGTGTTTTACTCAGTAGCTTAGGAAATAATCACTTTTCCATGCCAACAGCTGTTTTTCCTTCTCACTGGACTATTGAACAGGTTTGTCAGTTTCTCCACCTGAGACTCAATGGTGATAATAATAATCGCCCGTCATCACAGAGCTGGATGACCTCACAATACGACATAGATGAGTCCGCGTTCTGGACCGAACCGGGTCCTGTGTCCACTTCTGAAAAATTCTCAACAGGCTTTCCCGATTCACAAGAAATTTCCCAAGGAAGTGTGACCTTATCAAACCCACTGAGATGTCCAGGTGAACAGATGAGACTTTTATTACCAAGACACGATTCACAGTTATGTCATAAAGTAACTCATGTACCTAAAATTCTTGATAAAAATTAATTTGGGGGAGAAAAGATGTGCAAAACTGAAAATTAACAGTAGAATCTTGCTTGGGGGGGCCTAGTTTGATATTTTTCCTAGTCAGTTTATGAAAAAAATACCAAAACCATTTGGTAGAAATATGTCCCTTTACATCTGCGCCACGTAATGTTTAACAAGTAAATCTAACATCATTGCATAACCAGCACACTCTCGCTCTTGAGGATTTTACCAGAATGCAAATTCAGAAGGTAAGGATGGGGTCTGGGGGGGTCTTTCGAACATGCCCCCAGGTACGGGTTGAAATGCTACTCCTCAGATCACACGTGGATGCTTAGGAAACCAACTTCATGATTCTGACCTTAGAAAAAAACTAAACTAAAAGGAGATTATTAACCTAACTGATGCTTAACCTAGCTGGAGATGATTCAACTTGAGTGGACAAACACAAAAAGCAATAAAATCGGAGGGTGTGTTGTGAAAGACAAGCACTCAAGGTTATGCTTGAGACGACAGGTTGCAAACAGGAACCGGGGAATAAAACCACACCACCCCTAGTTTACTTGAAAGTCCTAAACTCACAAGGGTAGGCTGGAGGCACAGACTTGGAATTCTGGCACAAATCAAAACCTCAGTAGATACTCAGCCCAAGACAGAGATGAAAAAAGAGCCAGCTGGTGATAGATGAAGACACTGCCGGGCTGGGTTATGACAGGCATTCTCAGATGGGTAAGCCTCCCACCCCCTCCTCCTCACCCCCCAGCCCAGCTCCCCCAAGACTGCGGAATGCATCCCCAAACAAAACCAGTCAGCCTGCTCCAAGAAAAACCCAGAGGAATGGGGTGGCTGGAAGACCTAGATAAATGCAAATAGGCAGGTTTGCACTTAATCAAAATAAACGGAAGTCCCTACACAGGCATGGTGATCTGGAGACCAATGAATCAATTGTTCAGAAATGCAAAGTCTTGTGTTTTCAAAAGGAGGGCTGTTTTTTCAAACTCAGTTAGATTCAACTGGTATTTGTTGATCTTGAGGTCCCAAGACTTCTGCCTCAGGAGAGGAAAGAGAGCTTGGGCGTGGAGGAGGCTGAATAAACTCTTGTTGACTTGTTAGTTGCTTCACAGTCTCATTCTACGGCTTCTGCCATGACCAGGAGTCATCGGAAGTTTTTCTTAAACTAATTTAGGTTGGAACAGAGTAGCCTCATTCTTCATCCATAATCCATTTTGGAATAACCCAACATCCTAGAGGTCAGGGTGGGGGGAAATCTCACTTAAGAAAAAAGTTAAGATTAAGATGGGAGTATTACCTAATGACAAAACGGCCTTTTGGGGATTTTCAAAGAACATCGTAAATACTTAATATAGTCATTGAATGGAAAGAAGCTAATTTAGCCAACACCATTGCACTAGTCTTCACGCCCAAACCTCCGGGGAGATATTTAATCTTTTTCCCATTTTTATTATTTTTTTTTATTAAACTACAGAGAGAAGGTAATCCAGACATTCAAAGAATGAACTCCAAGTCACATACTTTGATGTAGACCCAAGCTGACATTATGGAAAACAATATAAAGATTCTTCAAACAATTACAAATGGAATCATTGTCGATCCAGCCATCCCACTTGTGGGTAATGATCCAAAGGAAGTGAAATCAGTCACTAGGAGAGATATGCGTGTTTCCATAAGCACTGCAGCATTATTCACGACAGCCAAAATCTGGACTCAACCTGAGTGCAAATGGATGAAGGAAATGTGCCTCGTCTATAATTATATACCCTAGAACACTGCTCAGCCTTACAAAAGAGAGAAATCCTGTTTTTGCAAAAACATGGATGAATCTGGAGGCTTTTACACTGAGACAAGCCAGCGCAGAGAGACAACGACTCTGTGATCTCACATATTCTAGAGAGTCTACAAGGGTTGGACTTGGAAACGCAGAGATTCGAAGGGTGGAGGCCGGGTGTGAGAAGGCAGGAGAAATGGAAAGATGGTGGCCAAAGGGGGAAGCTCCCAGCTGTACCGATGAATGACTTGTGAGGAGCTAACATACATCAGGGACTGCCACGGGGCTGTGACCCAAGCTCTCAACTGCATACAGCGCTGTAAACTGTTAGTGCTGTAAACACCGTGAATGAAACATGAACCCCAATTTAACAATTATTACTATTTTTAAAGATTTATTTATACAAATGAGAACTGGGATGTGGACTGGAGGTGCAGGGGGAGGTGAGAGACTTCACCAGAGACAGTGGGGAGCAGAACAGGCAGACTGAGGAAGTACACTGCTGAGGGGAGTGGTGGGGAGACAGGAGAGGTCTGCAGCGCCCTGAGGGTCACTCCCCAGGGCTCTAACTGGTGCTGCATGGCTGTGGACAGCTTCATAGTGTTGAGGCTTAATCTCTGCGCTACCAAGGAGACGCCTCAGTTTAACGATTACTAAAAACAATAATAAAATGGTCCGTTACCCCACACTGCAGACCGGGCCCACCTCGCTTCACAGCACTCCACAGGCATAACCTTTTGTCCCAACTGGGCATGGGTGGCACCTCTGGCACTGCGGTTCAAAGCTCAGAGATGGTTAGCGGTTTTTATCAATAAAGCATGTTTTAGGGCCCTCCCTGGTGGCGCAACAGGTTAGGACGCAGCACTGCGAGCTGGCGGCAGCCGCTTCAGTGCCAGCTGGATCCCAGCCCGGGGGGGACCCACGTGGCGCGGCAGACCTCTCCTGAACCCCCCGCTGCTCCCCTCAGCGGTGGACTTTGTCAGTCGGCCTGTTCTGCTCCCCACTTTGTCTCTGGTGAAGCCTCTCACGGCCCCTGCACCTCTGGCTTGTACCCCAGTTCTGTATGAATAAATACATCTTTAAAAAAATAAAAGCAAGTTTTAATAAAGGCATGCACATGTTTTAGTCACACTCCA